AGAGAGAGAGAGAGAGAGAGAGAGAGAGAGAGAGAGAGAGAGAGAGAGAGAAGAGAGAGAGAGAGAGAGAGAGAGAGATAGACAGAGAGAAAGAGAGAGACAGAGAGAAAGAAAAGAAGAGATAGAGGAGGCCAGAAAACACTGCAGGGGGAGGGTGTTGAGAGTGACAGGGAGGCTGTCATCGAAAGCGCCAAGAGTAGCCTACCATAGGCCTACTTAATGTATTCATGGGTCAAAGTCAAATGTTCAGCCAACCGTAGCCCGGTTTACGCCCTGCATGTTGTTGTATGTCTAGATCTAATATCTAGATCAAGATTTTAAAAACCCATGACAGTATTGAAAGTAGATTTCTCCGGCAGTGGATTTAGCTCGCACGCCGAAAGAGGAGTGTATTTTGTGCACAGTGTCTAGATGAGATCTAGAATCAAGATCTAGAATCGAGGTCTAAATCGAGATCAAGAAGAATCATGAAATGAAAGTAGAATCTAGATCTGTGACGTTTCGATAACCTATTGAATATTGAAAGTGGATTTTTCTTTCTGTGCATTATAGATTCTAAGATCTAGATCTAGGCTAGATCTAGATCTAAGTGAATCTTAGATCGAGATCAAGAATGATGAAAGTATTGAACGTGGATTCACTACTGTGAATAGATCTAGAGTCTAGACCTAGGCTATCGGTGAATCTAGATCGAGGTCATGAATTATGAAAGTATTCTTGAAAGTGGATTTTTCCTGCTATGAATAGATCTAGAAATCTAGACCATCTGTGACGCCTGTCGGTTGTTAAAAATGTGAATTTCTAAATTTAGATCAATCTATGGGCCTATGCCCCTTCTTTCAATTATAGGCCTATGTCTTTATAATCCTTTGAGATCTAGGCTAGATCTAGAATCTAGATCAGGTTCTTCTAGGAAGCAACAATTGGCATGTAGGCCTACGACTTTTTTTAAAAAGTGATTGAGCTGGAACTTTAATAGAAAGTGCCACGCCTTCGAAGAGGGGGAAGAAGTCTTACCCCTAGAGGTAGTCAAGAGGGGGTGCTACATGGATAAATTCAAGATAAAATATTTATGTTTTGTTTCTTTCCTGTTTTCAGTCTTTTTCCTTTTCTTAACTTTCCTAATACTTCTTCATTATTATTCCGTTCGTAGAATGGGTACTTTTACTAGTAATAATAATAATAATAATAATAATAATAATAATAATAATAATAATAATAATAATAATAATAATAATAATAATAATAATAATAATAATAACTTTTTTCCCCAAAAAATAATATATATTAATAATAATAATAATAATAATAACACCAACAGCAATAATGAATTTACAGGATTCCAAAAAAAGACAGTTTAAAATAATAAAATAATAATATAATCATCAGAACATGTAGAGAGTAAAAAGGTAGATCCTACCAGAGACATCTTCCAGCCACCCATTTAAAACAGCCTTTTTCAATTTAGAGGAGATGGAATCACGATGAAGGAGCATGAGGGCCTGTCAATCATCAACAAGAAAAGAAAGAAGACAGCTTGCCATGATATACGGTAGAACTTGTCTGAAAGCTCTCAGGCATTCAGGAGCTGAAAACTATTTGCAGTTGAAAAGAAAAGAAAAAAACATTTTGTTTGTCTTTATTGTACATCAGTGCAAGATGTAACACCGGTACTCAAAGTATGGCACATTTGACCCATATGATGTGATTCCGGCAAGTTTCAGTCACTTTTTCTCTTCACTAAAAAAAATATGCACAGCAGCCGAACCTGCATTGTGCAGGGAATAATCCACTAAAATTGTGAAATACCCTTTTTTTTAATGACATTGAATAGAATTACACTAATATATTCTAACATACATTAATTACAGCTTGTTCACTTTTGTCTGTTTAAGGTTAAACCAGAATAAAAATAAATTGCTCTTTTTAATTGTCTTAGGTTTTTGCATGCCAGTGCCAGTCTAAAAGTTGGACCACCAACAGAATCTGAATGCCCACTAATGTAATCCACTGAAAAATAAGGTTCCGGAGAGTTTTCTTTGGTGTTGGCCTAAAATGGGTAAAAATATAATATACTGGTGCTCAAAAAGCAAAAGGTACTACTTTTTTGTGAAAAAAATCTAGTCTTTTGAGTCTTTACATTTTTCCTTTCATGTGAGTAATACGGAGTACTCTAAAAAGTAGGTCTTGTTATAAAAATAACAATTTAGTGCTTCACTTAGAGTTCACAGCACCTAAGTTAAAGAGCCACATCTCAACAAAAAAGATGTTACCATTTAAAAAATATATATGGAGTAAAATTAAATAGTTCTATATAAAAGCCTCATATTTTTTCTGTTTAGCCCTAAAAAATCATAACAAAAATGGCATTTTCAATGGCTCTGCAACTTTGTACCGGAATGCTTTCAGGGCTCATTTAAAATGTGAAGTAAAAAAGAACATTTACTGAAAAATACTATGACAAATGTTAAAAAACATGAAACTGAGAAAATTGCATAAGTATTTAAACCTTTCCCTGCAAAGCAGATTTGCCAGGTGTGGTTTCCTTGACCCAAGTATATTCTGGAATTTTCAAGCAAGCTAAATTTTGTAAGTGCATGCACATTGTGATAAAATTTTTAAGCTGTTCTTTAGAGGTATTAAACAGGAAATCTCTATTTGTGGGCAGCTGGGGATGAATTGTGCCCTCAGGAAATCCCCAGGAAGGGTAAGAAATATGCTCAGATGTGTACAAGAAAAAAAATAAGAGTGAGGTAGAAATTTAAAAAACAATTTTTTAAAAACAAAATATGTTTAACATAAAATTATGGGTTTTGACATTCGTAAGTGAAGTACAATAACATAACTAAATACAGATGACCTCTCTAACAGCCACCTGTATAAGACAATCACCCTTACAAATGGCCACTTTTCATTTCCTCTCTTGCACATTTTTACATTATAATGACACTGTGCAAGAGGTCCACCTGTCTAAGACAAACACCTTTCTTCTCTGTAGGCTAATTGGTGGCTGTCTCAGACAATTTCCACAGCAAAAGTTGAGTTACTTATGTTCTACGACTGTCTGCACTGGCAGCTGGTTCAACATGAGGGAAGACATCAGTATATGGAGGAGGCTGCTCATCACTTGGCACAATCTGGCAGGGCAGGCCACTACCTGGTACTACGCTATTAGGGTCCTTCTCTGGAATATCACAGTATGCAGGAGGGGCCATGCAAGGAGGCCAAGAGTCGACATAAGACCACGATGCTGTGGCAGCCATATCACAGCCGTCTGGGCTACCTGATATCTGTATTGGTATTCCCTCTGTTCTATCGTCGTCTCCTCGGTTCACAAGAGAAATGTTTTCGTCCTCGCACTGCAGTCCGTTATCTGCTGAGGTACCTAAAGGGATAGAATTTTTTCAGAACATAAGGTAACAATAGCGATATGACAGGGTTAATGATATCTTAAGCACACTCATATTCATACATTCCCTACTCCTACTTGCTCTTGGTTTCAAATGCCAATAAAAAAAAACCTAAGCAGCCACAAGTAAAATACAAAATAACAAGCAACAACTTATAAAACAAGCTCTCTATCTGTCATGTGGGGGACAGGGGTATATTTTCAGCATTCTCTGTCAGAGACCTAACTTGAAGAGTATTAACAAAACATACACTCCAAACCATGACCAAAATGTCACATATATTCCTTCCTACTAGACAGAATATTAATTGATATCACTGGCTGACTTATTGAGACCAACCCAGTTACAACTGTCCTGCAATATTCAGAGGGTTTCATTTGGGTTTTTTTTGTTTTGGTCTTTTTTGTTTGGTTTTTTCTTTTGGGGGGGGGGGGTCTTTTTTAGGGGGGGGGGGATCCCCCTAATAGTCATAGGGAAATGAAAATTGTCAGTGTTGCATGAATTTAACAATCTCATGATTTTTATCCATCCATTATCTTTGCAGTTAGGTTTTAAAGGTTTTTTTTTACCTATGTGGGGTTCATGAAAACTAATTTTAGTCTATGTGTTCTTGTAGAGCAAAAAAAGATCTTTTTGGTCATACCTTCAACTTATTGTCATCCAGTTTAAATATTACTACTGCTAATGAAATAATAATGTTGTTTTTTACACACATAGGCTACTCAAATGATAAAGATTGAAATAGTTTTACAATGCTTGAGTCTATTTTAATTAGGGAATCTGCAGAATTTTTTTTTACCACAAAATACTGCTCCCTGTTGTGCGAATGAGGAATCAGAAGAGTGCATGGTCTCCATGAGTTTAGCAAAATTGTGAAAGTGGGAGGTTCTGAAGCAATGGTTTAATGCTTTGTAAAAGAAAAAGTCAAAATAATTTAAAACAGTTTTCATGGGTCCCATAGAACAAGAACTCACAACTGCCAGATAGTTTGCACATCCATTTGAGAAAGGCATTGTTAAACAAAAACAATTTCACAACTTTTGAAAAGTTCACTCGAGACCAGCCAAAAAATTATTTTTAATAAAAGAGTTGTACCTACCTTTAAGTTTAAGCACAATATAGAAAAAGCGGGGACTAAAAAGCACTTCATGTGGGCTGAAAAGAATTATAGTACGTTCTTAAAGAAAGTTGAACTGTATATTCTAACTTGTTTGTAATAGGAAAGAACAAAAAATTATATCTCACTTGTGCTAGACCATGTCGAGAGTTTTGTGGGAAACAAGGTATGGTGTAGGCCTACATGCAAATACCTGAAGCAGTGGCTGCTCCACTTGTAGCAACTGTGTGTCCCTGACGCGACGCTTTCTGCCTCTGATCTTTCTCCAACCTCCTGATCAAGAAAATCATCACAACAGAATAGCCAATAGCAATAGCAAAAATCCTGAACACAAGTAGAACCAGAGTCTCTACCTCTGTAAAGACACAGAGGAAAAACAATGCCAACGCCTGTCTTGACGCTGTATCATTTTCAATATCCGAATCTTCTTTTCCTGAGAGTACGCTTGTGTCTGAGAATTCTCGAACTGTGGAGGAGATTTAAAATTATAATTGTTTAACTGTTTTAGTAAAACAAATTATATTGAAATACCAGATGCTTTTTAAAAAAATGGGGAATACACTTCAGACAAAGAGGATAAAATTCAGAAAGCTATATAATACATTTATGTTTTTTCATAAAAGGTCATTTACTGGACTCAAAACCTCTTTTACCATGGTAAAGTAGAACTTATAAAGGTTACATCTACAATAAACATATGGTCTACTTAAAAGACTAGAATAGTGAACAAGTGAGTTGAAGCCATCAAATATTTGGAAGCAAATATACCCTGGAGTCCTCTTAACATAAATTTTCATTGAACAACTGAATAAAATGCTTAACAAAAGGGATACAACCCTGCAATGAAGCTTAACCTGTTACAAAATAGCAGTGTAAATTGCTTAGATAGTTTGACTTCCCTTTATCAAAGGACAGGAATAGTAAACGAAAGGCTGACTGTAAATACCCGGAATACGAGTAAATATCGCACAAATGTGGACCTGGCAGTAAGTACACGGTACACCATGTAAAGACCGCACAGAGGGGGAGATGGCGGTAAATACACGGTATACCGTACGTGTAAAGACCGCACAGAGGGGGAGCTGGAAGTAAAAATATGGTATACCATGGGCTCGCAGCCCGGGTTGGTTTTTAGAGTGAGATACACGTATAGATCTTATTCTGGCTGAAGGCCTAGATTTCTGGGCTTTTCTCAGTTGGTAACACGGTAAAGTAGGTCTAATGGAAATCGTCTGTTTTGCTGCTGCTTTGGATAGGGGGCACCAATGGACTTCGCACGCCTTAAGAAGTTGTGTCACAAGGGCATAGTGTTGTGGTATACTTATCCAAACCATTGCCTTTTTCAAAAAATATTCTTTCACAAAGAATGCTCCCTAAGCCAGTGGTTCTTACCCTTCCCAGAAGGTCGATATTTACTAGCCATTAGTACTTCGTAACCCAAAATAGACCAGACCTTTATGTATACAAGTACATGTTGATGTAGTTAAATTCATCGTGACCCATTTTGAATCATATTTGTTTTAGAGGGGAAAATATTCTGATGATCCATGAGCTTTCAGATGTGACTATAACATGATAAGTACTTGGCTGGGGACAACTGTTGTAAATAAATGTGTCTCAGGCATACTTTGGACCAATACAGCTGACTGAGGATGAGTCGATGTCCTCGGAGGAATGAAAAAAAGATCAACTCATCCGAAGATCAACTTCACAGTCGGGACCACAAAACAACAAAGTTCTTCCCCAGCTCATGCTCATAATAATAGATTTTAATTTTAGTCGGCTACTGTGGTAAAAATCGTGGCAACAGGAAAGGTTGCCAAGCAATATTTATTCACGTCATTCATCACAGCACGCGCGTCTCTCCGTGCACGTGCGTGTGTGTGTGAAAGAGAGAGAGAGAGAGACAGAGAGAGAGAGAGAGAGAGAGAGAGAGAGACAAAGAGAGAGAGAGAGAGAGAGAGAGAGAGGGAGGGAGAGGGAGAGGGAAGGGGGGGTTGCAAGCGCCCACTGATGGTTATGCTAACAATAATTAATATGCCTGTACTCGTAACATGTAACTCTGCGACAATCTTTTTAACTTTCACTCTCACTGCACTGATTAAGTTTTGTATTCCTGGTAAAACATTCACTCTTTGCCATGTTCTTAATTCTCACATTGTACAACGTCCGTTATACACGAACTGTAGATCACTACTAAAACCCCTTGAAAAGTGAACGCTATTAGTATTAGTGAAAAGAACGTTTTATACAGGTACGCTTTAAATAAATAACTTTTAGATGGTAACAATTCTTACTGGGACTCCAAGCTATTGAAAGTAAATATTATACTAATTATTAAGTTACAGTCGAGAATACTTTTTCAGCCCGGTATGTTATGCTGAAATTTTACTGTATTACGCGGTATTCATTGTCTCGTGATGTAGGATACCCTTTAACTTTGACCTTGAGTGGAGGAGAATCTGCAACGGACGTGGTTATTGCACCGTGGTGTCAAATACACAAGAACCTTAGTAGAACCTCATTGATATAGGCCCACACCCTCTCTTGCGCTTCCTTCACTGTATCATGAAAGTTTACTTTAATCATTGCTTGATCCCTCTATATTTATTTTGCTTTAAAAACCAAATAATTATATTTCCTGCCCTCCCTTAACACTCGCCAAATAGAACAGTGTGTAAGTCATATTATATGAAAGCACACTATAAGATCATCTTCACGAAGAACTGGACCTGAAACAGACACCGTCGATCATGGTTCACTATTCATTTCTCTACGTGGGTGCTCTAAAACAAAAACATATTACAGTACATATATATATCTTACGCTTTCCCTGTCACCCACAATTCAAGTTCAGTAAGTTGTTCTTGGTCTACTGACCATCTACGCCTGCCTCTTTTGCCTTCTATTTTTTTTCAGTGAGAGCAATGTTGAAGGCATTTATGTCAATTTGACTGTTGTAGAAACTGCATTAAAATTTGTCTCTTCCTAATACTTTGCATTACTCAACTGTATGGCTTCATTCACCATTGCCTCATTTCATTTCCATCTATTAAAATTAATTCATCCTTGATGTCTCCTAAGAAACCACATCTTTTTGCTTTTATTTATTTTCACTATATTATAATGAGATACTGATTAGTATTATTGAGTGATATTCTAAATAACGCACACAAAAAAATTCATTCTTAAAGCAGCACTGGACTGGCAGCGTGTTGCCCGGGATTCTGACCCCAGGGTCACACTGACCTCACGGCACGTGCTCTCACGAAATGAAGTATCTTGAATGTGACGCAGTGCGAATATTTATTTATCAGAGTGTACGGAGGTAAAACACCCAGTCACTAGATAGGCTATAAGACATGAAATGTGTCATTGGGGATGGGTTAAAAATTTAGGACTCAAAAATGGCAAACACCGTTTTTTTCTATATTACAAAAATGTCTGGTCTATTTTGGGGTCACCACGTACAATGAGGGCAAGAGAATCTTGGATGAGGGGGTAGTAGGGCCTACGTATATATAATGCCATAACCTGCTAACACAAAGCCACCAAGTTACCTCTCAAAACTACCAAGTAGGGTGGTTAGGGACAAATCAGAGATGGTCAATGGAGGGTTGTCTTTCCGAGGGCCTAGTAATGAAGGGCACCGATTCAGAATCAGATCTAGGTCTCTGCATCTGATTGGGCAATTTCAAAAGGTAGACTAGGCCTATGTTAAGCTGCGATTGGCACTTTCAACAATTTATGCTTTAGTAATTCCCTCCACCAAACGGTCGGTTAACATAAGCCAAATTGGTATCCTAAAACTGTCCATGTAAATACTGCACGGTGGGCGGTGTGGCAGTAAATACACATTGACCGTGTATTTACCCATACCCTAAATAAGAAACATGAAACAAATCTTTGCTCAAAGAGTGTATAAATGTACAGACATTTAGCATCCATATAAACACAATTAAAGAAATTTGGAATGTAGAGTAGCCGATATCTCTCTCATCAGGATACCAGAAATAATGGAGAAAAAAAATTCAATGAACAGCACCTAGGCCTATTGATAAAAACTTTAATTTGTTTCAGTAAAAATTATTTTGAAGGGGCCTTACTGTCAGTCATAAAAAATTGCAAAAGAAGAAATATCTTTCTCTGTTAAAACATACTTTTAAAGTAATAGTTGAAGCTGAAGGCGTGCAAGTATCTGTCCTCCAGAACATAAGAGTAGTTTACAGATGGCTCCACTGCCACTCTGACCACTCTCGATTTCCACATGACCATGCAGTATTCTGAGTCAACGTATGGTTTATTATCATAGTTGAACTTTCTGAAAAAAATACATGATATACATTAGGGGGGACTTTTGTGTCATTGGCAAGACAAATTCACTTTGTTTTAACTACCAGCAATTTACAAATCTTCTGCTCTCTGTTATTGTTTTATAGCCTAATGTTGGCAAAAACATTTCTGGGGGAATTTGCCTAGGATGCCTCAAATCTCTCTCTCTCTCTCTCTCTCTCTCTCTCTCTCTCTCTCTCTCTCTCTCTCATTATCTTTGTCTCCGCCCACCCTCTTCCTCTCCTGTTTTGCATTTTACTACAGACCATCTACAGATTCACAGTACAACATTAGAAGTAACAGTGTAAAAATATAAATATGAATTAGCATCTAAGTATTTAAGTAGAAAACATTTAAGATTCTTTGAAAGAAGCATTTTTTGTGTACACAATGCCCTAGGACAAAGCGAATATTTATGAGGCATGCAGACAAAATGAGTAACTTCTCATTGTCTAGGAATTGAGATATCTGTCAAAATCAACACAAGGGATAAGTATGTAGATTTTCAAATGATGCCATTTTCTTCAAGTTTAACACTTCTTTTTTCATTATAAGCTATATTAATAAATCATACAAATTCACTGGCAATTTATAAATTTTCTATAGAGCCAAATTCCAAGAATTAAGTAACTCATTTCATCAGCACGTCTCATTTATTGCTTAAAAACTACCATCGCACGATACACAGTGTGAACAGATACCCCTTAAGCTTACAATAAGAGAAGACAGCCAAGGGTAAAGAAATGTGTTTAAGTACAAGTAAGTATAGTAATGTGTGTCCACATTTGTGTATTAGAGTGTGCATTAAAAGTATGGGCAGATGGCAAAGCCATGGAGTAAATAAACATATTGCCTCACTCTCTCTAGACTTTCAACCCACCTGATTTCATCAGACAAGAAAAACAAAGAAGCACCACCATCGGGAAAATCAACATGTTCAAAAGTAAAGCAGATTTGCTTATAATCCCGACAGAGGCGATCAGGAATGAGAGTGATCTCACACATTGCTGCTCTGTCTTCTTCAGAGGCGTCGACATGGGATATCACCCTCCCACTTGAGCCTCTTACATTCTCTTGACCATTAGGACAGTCTGCTTGTGAATGCAAAGCAACTGGGGGGAAAAAATTTGAACAAACACATAAAATTGAACTCCTCCTTAAAAAAAATAATGAAATTGAGTTCACTATTATTACATCTTCAAGTTTACAACTTCACTGGCCCACATGTAGGCTATTCCACAGACAATTTTATGATAATAAAAATTGCTTTATATAGTGCAGATCAATGCTCTACAGCATGCTCTTAGCACTTCACAACTTTTATTACCTCAGCACACCGCAGAATACTCACAAACATGCTCTGCATTGTTTGTGGGAAGCATACAGTGCAAGCAGCCAATTAAGTGCTTAACCACTAGAAAACTGACAAGTTCTTTTATTATCTATAGTAGTCTATAATCTTAACCATATGGACTCCAATGCACTCCTGAGTGTACTCTTTCTTTAATCTCATTGCAAAGAATGTAATCTTTCAGGTGGTGCAAATCTGACAGCTGACTTCAGAGGGGAGCTCGAGCAGGCTACATGGGTTCTGAAAGACTCACTCAACCAAGGCTCAAAGGTTTACCACAGTGTTTTTCTTACTATTTGTTTGGACAAACATTTAGCTTTAACAGCTCTGGCATAAACATATCATCATGTTAATAAGTCTTAGTTAGAGTTTTACTGCACTTACAACACAATAAGGTCATATTATAAGTGCCAAAGATTATAGGTGTTACAAGAGAGTAACAAAACACTGAAAAAGAAGGAGGAGAGATTTAAGGATGATATGACAGGAAAGAATTGGGGCAAACTACACCAGAGCACCTGCCACCCACCTATACATAATGTCAGAGTCAGGGAGAAAATGATGATTTCAGTAACAAAAACAAGGTAGTAGAACTTAGTAGAAAGATGAAAACATACCAAAAGCACTAAATAAAATACTGCGTTTGGTAATACTGCTCATACTCAGAATAAGATTCTGAATAAAGCTTGATTGAAACATGAGGACCCTAGCTTTAAGCTTGTACGTTTTCTTTGTTTGTTTGTCTAACTCTTGCTGTTTTTATATATATATATATATATATATATATATATATATATATATATGTGCTTTGTTTGTTGTTTTTGGTGTATGGTTCTTTTAAAGGACGGTGTGCTTTTGTTCAAGTAAGGCACGTTTCTTTTTTGGTACTATGTTCCTTGTTGGAACACTGAGCATGCATGAAGTTACCTCTCAAAAAAACCCTGCTGAGAAGAAAAGCTAAGGAAAAACTTTGATCCCATGTGAGTCCGAAACTCTGTACTTCCACAAGTTACCCAGGTTCGAAATCATCTGTGCTATTGCAGCTGAATTTGTTTGGAAACACCTTTTATAGGAAAAGAAACTTGTCATGAATATAATATTCATTGACTTACAGGCATCTGAATGATTCTTCCAGAGATAGACTCTGGTGAAGCCACTGACATCACAATAATTGTAACTGTTGTACCAGATTATGAGGCTGTCGTTGACATCCAAACAATTTCTGCCATCTTTTTCGGAGTCCATTTGATATTCATTCTCACACCATAGCAGTTCCTGAAATTATTAATTATATTCATTGATCAGAGCAAAGAAAAGGTTGAAAAGTCAATTTTCAGTTATGTTATACTACTGCATCATTTGCAGAGAGAGAGAGATTTTGTTTTCACAGAGGTTCTGCGGCGCTCGCAACTGAATAAGGTCATATGAGCGCCAAAAGATTAGAGGTGTTACAAAAGATTAGAGGTGTTACAAAAGAGTAAAGAAGGAGGGGAGATAAGGACGATAGATGTTTGATAGGAAGGAAGGAGCAAACCACACCAGTGCACCCGCCAACCACCCACACAGAGAGATAGAGAGAGAGAGAGAAGAGTGAGAGAGAGAGAGAGAGAGAGAGAGAGAGAGAGAGAGAGAGAGAGAGAGAGAAAGAATTTGTCTGAGAAACACACTGTAACAATAACTGCCATTTGGTGTTGGGCAAAAGCAAAACAGACAGACAAAAGCCACTGAAAGAAAAAAGAAGCAGGACCTTTCACTCTGTAGCACCTCCAACCACCTATGGATAGACAGACAGACAGACAGACAGACAGACACAGACATACAGACATAGACACACACACACACACACACACACACTCACACACACACACACACACAAACACACAGGCATACACACAGATAGAGGAGACATTGTTGGCAAGAAAATGAGAAACTATTTCTCTCTGACCTTTAATTCTGGCAGCAATGTCTTTCCTACCCTTGAGGAACTGTGTAAATTGTTCTTAATCTTCTCCATCTTAGAATCAAATGTAAAGTTAAGGTCTTTGAGAAAAAAACATTGTATTTTTACAGTAAGAATATGTTGTCGTTTTTTTAATCATCTTTTCTTATATTATTTCATGAAGGCCACAAGGAGACTTTTTTATGTAAATGATCAGGGTTTTGTTTAAATCTGCTCAAGTACTTTCAAATATATATAGAATTGGTTGTTTTTGCTCATACGTCCTAATAAATAAAAATAATGCTTTCTTCACTTGACTTGTGCTTTTAACTTGCTGATGGCACAATAGCTACAATCCATGTGTGATAAAAATACTTACCAAGACATCATTCCTGGAAACCACATTCTGCTTCTCATATTTTATGCGGGATGAGCAGTCACTAATATTTTGAGGGCTCTTATCATAGCAAATCTTGTATGTAGCACTTAGAAAGCTGTTTGCAGCAACAAATTCTACTTTACATTCTCTGTACTGTAAAGTGGTGCAGACATCAGCTTTTTGGCACTTAATACAATCCTCCGTTTCAAGAAATACTGAATACTGGGTTCGAGTGTCACGAAGATCAACTACCCGTGAACAGCTCCTCTCTGGTTTATCCACAAAAAGAGTGACTGAAAAAATAGAAAAAGTCAAAAATTTCATTGGAGATGAGAGTTTATTACACTACATAAGATTAGATGAAATGCTAAAATAAACAAACACCAAGATTAACCTGCACATCATTTCCAACATTAAAGCATCATCACCATTATCATCATCATCATCCTCATCATCATCATCATTAGCAGCAGCAGCAGCAGCAGCAGCAGCAGCAGCAGCAGCAGCAGCAGCAGCAGCAGCAGCAGCACAGACCAAACAATTCCCCTTGTTCTTGTTTTGTTTTTCTTGAAGCATATCAATTTGTACCATGTCAGCACATTTTTATATACTTCAAATATCTGTACCAAAATCAGGGCACAGGACAAAAAAATAACTATTAAAAATGAAATACTAAAAACAAAATGCTATCATCACACCCAATCCTAAAATAATTATTTATTGATACCACTTATAATACTACCAAAATCATCCTATTTAATCCCCCATTCCTCCCTTTTTTGCTTTCCCTCATCTTTCTTTATTACCTGCTCCAAATAGATATCAATACTTGATTGATTGAACATAGACGTTTTAAGGTACTATCAACACAGTTTTGGCCATGTACATGCTGACCAACAGAGACACCCATAAAAACTATTAAAAAAGAGATAGTCTAGAAACACAAGATTTCATAGACGTACTTGATCACCACCAGGATTTATTGTGACAAATTTACATATAAAAATTGCGTGTTAGAAAGAAGTTAGGGCACATACTCTTTGCGACGTCTGTTTCGGGCGATACTGTCCGATACACACTCTGAGCATTTGTCAAAATTGTCTATGACATGACATTTTCCATTTGCTGAGCCTTTGATGTACATGGATCTTGTACGGTTTAAACTTCAGATTGTACTTCAACATGCAGCGATCAGATTTCTCTAGCAATACTTAATACAATACTATGATGATGAACTGACTTTTTAGGTTCCTCGCTCACAGACTCCACCACCACTGCCACATTCTCAGCAGTGTGCACTTGTCTTATATTGCTATATGACTTGAAGTCAGCCACCCACTGAAGTATGTCTACTTTACTTGGTATTTTCTTACCGTCTCTGGTGTTAATTCCAAACCGCTTACAGAAGAGATTCTGTGTATGCGGGACTTTGTTTCGATATATATCTTTCAACAAAAAAATATGTGTTGTTCAACAGTGAACTGTACCTTGGGAGTGGCTATGGATGCTTCCCAGATATCGTTGTTCTTGTTACATGTTTCTCCTTCCGGATGGTTCAGCTTGCTTCCCGTCAATTTTTGTGTGAATTGTGCACTTTGGTGGAGATTTATAGGCTTTCCCGAGGGTAAAGGTTTTTTGGGGTCAGTAGGTATGCAGTAGGAAAGAGAAAGAGAGGAAGGCAGAGAAGGAAATGGGAGGACAATATTACAGAGTGGACAGGAAAGACGATGGGTGACAAACTGAGGAAAACAGAGGACAAAAATAGATGGCGAGAGCTGGTTTTCAGAAGCAGCGGTGCCCCCACGTTTGTCCCAACCACGGGATAGAAGAAGAAGAAGAAGAAGGTATACACCAACTTTCAGTTTACTGAGAGCAAATGTAACCCTTTGATCCTTGACCTCCTGAGGTTACTGTACCCCACTGCCTGAGCTCCTGAGTGAAATACGAGGGCTGTCCCATGGAAAACCGGAATTTGGCTGTAATTTGAAAACTATTCAATATTTTCACATTCTGTAAATGCACACATGTAAAACAATCATTTAGGAATGTCCCGATTGAGCACCATGAGCATCTCACAAACCAAACGAACACAGCAGTTCTCCAAAGATGGCTAACCCCTTTGAAAATTGCTCAAGGGTAGAAGTGAGTTCTGTCATTCGGTTTCTGACCGCAAAAAGTCTCAAACCTATAAAAATACACACTGAAATGAAGTCAGTTTATGAGGAGAAAGTAATGGTAAAGCCACAGGTATATGAGTGGTGTAGTAAGTTCAAAGCCGGGGCCTATGGATGTCAATATCAAAGTTCACCCAGGACCTTGCTTTTCTACCAAGACTGAGGACAACAAGAGTCGCATTAACGAACTCCTTCAAACAGACAGACGCCTAAAAATTCATGAAATTTCCGAGTCGCAAAACATTTTAAAGTCGACTATCCATAGGATAGTGTTTGATGAGCTGCACTATCGAGAGGTCTCTGCTCGATGGGTCCCAAAAGAGCTGACAGCTGACCACAAGACACAACGTGTTGAAGTGTCTCAGACTTTGTTGAAACGTTGTTGCAAAGCTGTCACAGGAGTCATGAACGCATCTGGAGACCTCGAACAATAAGATGAAGCATTCCTGAGAAGCATTATTACAGGTGATGAGACTTGGATACACCACATGACCCCTGAGACGAAGAGGGATTCAATGGTTTGGAAGCACAGGTCTTCCCCTCCCCCGAAAAAGTTTAAAGTTCAGCCATCGGTGAAGAAACTCATGGCCACAGTTTTCTGGGATGCTAAGGGTGTCCTGCTTCTTGACATTCTGGAACCAGGACAAACAAACTGTTAATGTTAACAGATACTGCCAGACTCTTGGTAAGTTGAAAGAGGTTGTGCGCCGAAAAAGACCTGGCCGGTTGTCCAGTGGGGTCATTTTGCAGCATGACAACACAATGCCACACCCCGCAAACGCTATGAAAGACTGGATCCAAAGGTTCGGCTGGGAAGTTCTGCCACACTCCCCTCACAGTGTTGACTTGGCCCATCAGATTATCACCTTTTTGGATCAATGAAACGCCATATGTCTGGACAGCAATTCACCGACAACGAAGACCTCGTGAAAGCCGTGAAAGATTGGTTGAAATTCCTTGACGAAAAATTCTTCAAGGAGGGTATCTTCTCCCTGATCCAGCGATGGGAAAAGTGCCTCCAGCAGGATGGTGATTACATGACAAATAAAGCACATGTTGAGGTATGATGTGTTACATTTTTTATTATAATAGGACAAAGATTGTTGCTTTTATAGACCTTTTCCGGTTTTTCGTGGGACAGCCCTTGTATTATTTACATTCATATGATCATCAAAATCACATTCCAGAACCCATTCTAAAATGCACACTGCCAGACAGACAACATATCTCTACGTTTTCACTTACTGTTCTTCTGTTCGGCACCAACAAGATAACCAAACAAAAAGATCATCAACGCCCCAGTAGAAGGCATACTAGTCAAAGTCCTTCACTTTTGGATCAAACCTAAAAGATGAGAAAAACTTCACAGTGATCAACTAATTAGGACGTGATTACAAGGAAAATCAATTTTTTTAAAAAGGAAAATAACCTATGGTGTTTTTCCATTTCTTAATTTTTTCCTACGAATAGATTGCACAAAGACTGAGAGCAGAAAAAGTAATCATACTTAAAACATTTGTGACAAAATATTCGTTTTCCGATAAATAAATCTACTGCAAGACGGACACTTATGCTTTTTTTAAAATAAAAAGGTCGTGAGAAAGAATTTTTGTCAAGCAGTTCGAATCAGACTTGGTGGTTTGCTTCTCTTTGTTCAACATCTTCTCGTTTAATTGTCAGGATGTGGGCCAGTTCTTAGCATCGTGAAAATACCAGCTCCGTTTTTAAAACAACATTGTTCATAAAATTTAGCAATAAGCCACTACGCAGTGCTTCATCAAATCCTGAATTAAGTGCATTTGTCTACTAATTGCTTGCTCTTCGTTTCATGCTTTCATTTTCAATCGATCTATAGAGATCTAGTGACAAATTCGTCTCGCGTCCAGATAACAATTATAAGGCAAAGAAAAGAGAAAATATTAGAATCCGGATAATATAAAAAATGTAATAGCGAGGCCCCCAAATATTGATGGGATGCATGATGTACTGATGCAATAATTATGTAAAGAGGGCCTGAAGTGGTACCCTAGTGTTCGTATGACTCTCTTTTCACGTTTCAGTTTACTAGAATCTAGACTAGATCTAGTAAGTTGTAAACCTGTTCACTACCTATGCTACGTTACAATTTACTCACCAACAGTAGTTTACCTATTTCCACAATACAAATTTCCGGCTCATTTTGTTGTTTCAGCTGTATGCTCCAGATTAATCAACCAACAATAAGCCCAACGAAGCCTTTCAAACCCCTTTTCGATTGGAGTACCTCGGAACTGTTACTTTTTGCGATTAAAGTTGGCAGCCTTTGAGCTGGAGAATTTGGGAGGTGAAAATTACTCACCCTGATGCAGAAAAATTAATCATTCTAAATACCACAACAAACACATCGAGCCGAGTTCATGAGGACAATGAACATGGTACAATAATGTACGCGTTAGCGGAGATACATTTTTTCTGATTGCATCTGGCCTTACAATAATTGATTTTTGCCTAGGGTTGGGGTATGTCATATTATATAATCTCATTATATGTGTATATGTATAATTAATACATATCTATATATCATATAGAGAGCCTATATTATAT